GCTGTGTGTTCAGTCCAGTTCGTGTCTCGAACTCTCAGCAGTCAGCGTGAGAGCAGTGTGTTCAGTCCAGTTCGTGTCCCGAGCTCTCAGCAGTCCGTGTGAGAGCTGTGTGTTCAGTCCAGTTCATGTCCCATTTCTCAGCAGTCAGTGTGATAGCCATGTGTTCAGTCCAGTTCATGTCCCGAGCTCTCAGCAGTCAGTGTGAGAGCTCTGTGTTCAGTCCAGTTTGTGTCTGGAGCTCTCAGCAGTCAGTGTCCAGGCTCTGTTCTCTATGGAAGAGACCTGTGCAGTTGGTGTGCATACTCTCCTGTATTTCACCACTTGCTGAAACACAAAACCAGCATGCTCCCCCAAAACCCACCCCAATGTGATGGTACTGATTATCCTAATTCAACTTTAATAGCAAGCAGCTCCTGGGTGTGAAGCACTCCAAGCTTTAACAGGCACAGGATGCCTGTGCATTCCGAGCCCCATGTCTTTTAAATCTCCTTCTAGCTGTGTTTGTCTTTCAGAAGGGCCAGAGCATCTAGGATCCTTCTGTTTCACTAAGGGAGCTGCTGTTACACTCCCTTTGGGCAAGACCACCAAGCTCCTGTAACAGACACAGGGAGCGTGCTAATGAGGCTCTTCCTGCTGTGTTTGCTGCTGGTGGTGTAGGAGTTAACGGACTGTTTATTTTTTTTCTCCTATGTTTTTCTTTCCCAACGGTTTTTTTTTTTCCACATTTCGAGCCAGCGGACATCAATCCGCCCGACTGCAGCGCTCCCCTGTCATTAGGGATTGTCATCAATAATACATCTTCCCTGCACTTAGCCCCCCCCCCACCCTGCGCGGCTCCTGTTACCCTGTATTGATTGCTGGGCTGGTGCTGCACTACCTCCCCTCACACAGACCTGAGAGCAAAAGCACAGCGGAGCCCAGAGCGCCTCTCCCGACCGGCTGCTCCCCTGCTCCAGCCGAGCTCGATCGGCGCTTCCGAAAACCTGCGGCCGGCCCTGCGGCACCTGGAAAACTGGGAGCTCCTTGGAGAGAAAAATGGCAGGCAGGGTGGTGTGCTGGCTAAAAACTGCTGCCTGCCAGCTCCAGGGTCTCGAGTTCGATTCCAGGGTTTTTTGCCAGCTACTCCGGATTCCTCCCATTTCCCAAAGACAAGCTGGGGCCTGACGATGTCGATATACTAACGATGGGACTACAGAAAGATCTAAATGACTATAATGGGCCACTCTCTTGCTCATGACCAGTCAGATTTTCTGCACAAATATCAAAAGATTAGTGACATTAAAGGGGAGCTGCAGTTCCAATTTCTCAGACCGGTTATTAAATCTCAGTGACAAAATAAATTCATTGACATTATAGAACATTTTTACCAATTTCGAGTTACCAAAATCGTGAACTTTGTGAAAGTGCTGTAAGTCGCCATTTCGTCACAAACTCGCATTCGAGTTCCCACGAATTGCGACATGAAGCAGCCCTTCCTGCTCAGTAGTCCCCGTAATGAGTAATGTAATGTGATGTACAAGCGAATAAAAACAGGTTGTGTAGCAGACATTTCACCATAGAAATGTCCCTACGTAATCTGCATGCAGAGTTAATAAGTAAGTAACATTTGTCGGCAAAATTGTCTTGAAATCAAGAGCAATAGTTCTATTGGATTAGGAGAGTATTCACAAGCCTAGTTGTTCACAATGTAACAGGGCCGCAACACATCACCAGACATTTTAAAGCCTCGTTCTGAATTGCAAAACATGGCGATGCGCATACCTGGAAATGTAGTCTATTTTGTAGTGCAAAGTGGAGGTTTTACAAGTTACTGCGTACATTTTACTTATAATGCGGTTTGAAATGCCCTCATCAATGCTGATTCTTTCTAACCCTGAAATATGAAAATAGCTCTGCAGTTCCCCCTTTAATAGTTCGACTGGAATGAGAGTCAGAGAGTGTAGGAAGCTCACTGGAGTTACAGGGAGCTGGACTGGAAGGCCCGCCTGTACCTCTGACTCAGCTCTGTAGCAAAGTTTTATTTCTCTTCACCCCTGGAGAATTTACTGTCCTCTCTGTGGCCTCAGATACGAAAATGCTCTGAACTTCAAGGCAGTACTGCACCGGCAACAGCAGAGGGCGCCCTGTCCGCAGGGGCCAATACTACAGTGTTAATTGACAAAGAAGGTTCCCTGTCCCAACCCTGGTGTCTTCTTACACATTCCAGACTGATGTCTAATAATTACAGTGCTGTACGTAGATGTGAGGAAAACATCTGGACTGGCTGACATCACATTGGAGTTTGACTTCTCCAGTTATGTAGCATTCTGTCCTGCAAGCTCTCACATGCTCTAACTCAAAAGGCAGTTTACTTTCTTTACATCTTAATATCTCATGGTTGAAATGATGCCTGTTACCATTCCTTCCTTAATTGCCTTTATTATTGTCTAAAGAAAAAAATATATCAGAAGTGATACCGACAATTTTCCAATTCACAGCCCAGTAACTCCTGTCAAACATATTGCTGCAGTTCTTACTGCCACGTTGCAAAATGGGGTGTAAAACAAAGCAGGCACACAAAAAAGAAAGGGGCAAACTGAAAGCAAAATACCCTAATCGTGGCTTTGCTCATTCTCACATTCGAACACAACATCCAAGACAAAGATCTCTTTCCAGATCCATCTGAAGTTTATTTTAATGTAACGCCCCTTCAGGCATAACAAGTTCCCTGACGGGCCAGTTAACTCCTGACGAGCTGAGCAGGCCGGACAGTGCCTGTGCTCCAGTGGACCGCAAGGTCTGTGGCTCCCAGAAGGAGCGTTGCCTTCATCCATCTATCCATCCCTCCCTTTTGGGGTCATGGGAGAGCCAGAGTCAATCCCAGCAAGCAATGGGATTAAAGCAGGGTACACCCTGGATGGGACACCAGTCCAGCTCAGGGCACGTACATATAGACACACCAGGGCCAATAAGCCTGCCAGTATGCATATGGACTGTGGGAGGAAATCAGAGCACCTGGGGGAAACCTGTGCAAACACAGAGAGAACATACAGACTCCACACGGACAGCACAGACAGGGTTCAGCAATGCTAACCACTGAGCCACCACGCCGCCCGTGTTGCTTTCAGATCACCGCAAATACAGCGCTGAATATGGCAGGACCGCGCGCAAACCCTCAGCTACCAGAGGCAGCCAGCCGGGCGGCAGCAGAGATCTCGTCTTACCTGGTCACCTGCGTGCGGGTGTTGAAGTCCAGGGACCTCATGGATTTCAGGACCTCGATGCAGCCCATGTACTGGAAGGAAAAAGAGCTGTTAGAGTCGGGTCCTTCCTGCCCCCATTAGGTCAATTTGTCCTAGTTTCCTGTTTAAGGAATGACAGAACACAAGTCATTCGGTGGGTCAGGGAAACAAACTGTGTCTTTTCTGGGACACAGGTGGGAAAATGTTGCCCTGCAGGTCAGCCTGATGGCGCTGTGGTCAGAACAGGTCCCGGAGTGACAGGGGGAGGCGGCCGGAGCCAGTGATCTGGTACAAGCTGCCATGGGGACCCCTCTGTGTGTTCATGGCCCTGATGGGTTGGGGGAGATATGGTTCTAGGGGGGGCTCCCCCTGGCCCCATCACTGAATCCGGCTTGAGCTCCCCCTGCCGCAGGCCCTGGGCGAGGTAAAGCGAGAATACGGAGTGATCCGCCCCCCCAGGGGTACAGTAGCAGTGCTGCTCATGCACAATAAATTGGCACGGACAACTGGCCATCAGAAGAAATGGGTGGGCTGAAGAGCTCCTGAATATGACCACATTTGCCGGTGTAACTAAAGACAGCAGTATGGAAGCTCTGCTGAAAGCATAACAGCAGGTTTGCTAGAATGATGTCACCCTGTCTGAGGACTTTGTGCCCACCAGCTGCTGCATGCAGGTCTAGGAATTCCCCTTTGTGACATCATTATCTTTGTGACATCATACCTGACTCTCACCAGGTAGGAACTGGTTCATGACGAGATCCCAGGGAGCTCTGAGCCAGCTCCTGCAGGGCCTGCTGGGGGAGGGGGTGTTCAGGCAGGAGGGGGCAGGAGGCTCTACAGTACTCAGGTTTCATTTGAGGCTGTGTAAGCGCCTGGGGAGTCTGGTGTCAAACCCCTGTAGAGACATGAGTGACCCTCACAGCTCAGCGTTATCAGCCGGGGCTCGCAATCTGCATCTCCGTAAAGATGAGCCCCTTCAGAATGATAGTCAATTAACTGCAGCAATTAAAAACTGCAAAGCCATCCTGCAATGCAATGCAGCACTGATCCCGATTAAAACGTGCTTCCAACAGTCCTCAAGGCCAGATCACTGAGTGTGGGGCATGGATGCCAACCATTTCCTAATGAGCTCAGTTAGTTTTTTTATGTTGCTCTGGCACATTCTATTCCTAGCTGAGAGGGGAATGGTGTCAGTTTCTAGGCTGGTGCAGATGCTGAGGCGATGATTTCACCAGCACACGAACTCACAATGCACATCCTCGGATCTGCACTCTCACAATGCACAAACACATTAACAAGTCATTATCGCTAGCTGCCGCTTGGGATAGGAGCGATCTCTCCAGAACCACGCTGCGGTAACACTCCCCTCAGGCACTGGCAGTCTAATGTAGCTCTACCCTTTCCTCACCAGGGCAATGAGCAGAGACCTGGACAGGCCCTCCCCCACAGTCCTCTTCCCTGGCCTGAGATCTCTGCAGCCTATAGGCCTGAGGTCCTGGCTGTCAGCTTGAATTCTGTTCTCTGCACGCACAGGAGTAGCCATGAGTGCTACTCTTGGTGACTCGGGGAACCCCCACAACCTGTGAACCCCCGATCGGACAAAGGCTGAGCGGGGAAAAAAAATTCCTGCGACTGACTCAACGGAAAAAAGAAGAAAATGGGAGAACAGATGAACAACAAGAGCCTGGACAGAAATTCCAGCTCCACTTCGCTCTCTAGAGCAATAAACTGGCCTGTCCCTGTTACCACAACCAGCAGTAAGGTGCTAGACACTAGAGGGGTCCTGCACAGAGTCCAGGGTCTGCAGAGAAGTAACAATGAGGGCAACTACACCCTTTTGGTGTTGTTAATATAAGTAAAGGTAGTAGTTGAATACTAGTGGTAGTAACAGTAGACACGTCTTTACACAAAGCGTTGTGGGAGTATGGAACATGCCATGCTATTGAGGTTGGTTCCTTTCATAGAATCTGCAGACTAATCAGACACAGCCAAGAAAGTGGTCTGGGTGAGTTGAACAGCTGTCTCCCGGTTGCAGCCTTCTTCGTGTTTTTATGTTTATATTAGCTGAGGGCAGCAACAGTCTCAACCTTTTATTTAAAAAGCAAAGCATTATGAATGCGACTTGAGTAAAAGCATGAGACGATGGACCATGCAAGGAGCTATATTGAAGGGTGGTACTGTGGTTGATGTTGTGATTACAGAAGCGGGGTAACAGACAAAGCAGTCCAGGGGTTCAGGTGGCTCAGGGGACGATGTGCTCAGCAGTGGCTCCACTCAGAACTCACAGTATTTGAGCTCCTAATAAAAATACTGATTTCCAATCACTTTAAACCTCCAGAAGTAAGCGATCTGATCCAGAAACCTATGAATCAGACTTAGGGGGTAGCCTCCTGGTTAGAGAGCACTCTGCTGAAACGAACCACAGCAGCCCCAGGGGTGGTTAGTGTTGATGTCTCTGGGGGCTGCAGGCTCTACCTGTCCGACCCCCTGTGGGGAAGAGAGGGTGAAGGGGGCAGGAGGTTGCCCTGGGGTCGAGGGGAGGAAGTGGGTGCTGCCCAGATCAAATTAAATGGGCAGCAGCTGGCTCAGCTCACCACCACTGCCGACTGCCCTGCTGATTCCTGCAAGGTCGGCCTGTTATTCCTCCAACTCATGTGAGGCCAATGACTTTGATTAAGTTTAATTGAATATAGGAATGAATGCAGCCTTGTGTAATACAATTACAAGGCCTGCTTCAGATCAGACAGCAGGAATATGGAGCCATCGGTAAGATGGGAGGAGGGGGGAGTTTGGTAGATCACTGACGTCTTGGGGCCTGTCTCATTGGTTAACCCCTTGTGTGCTGTAAAGTCAGACCAACCTCCCTCCTGCTCTCCCTGACAACTAATGCACTGCTTCTTTATAGCTTTGCTGTTAGAGTACAGCTTCTCAAACAATGCTTCAAAGTGCATGAAAAACTGTTGTTGACAGGTGGTTTGTATCTAGATGCTGTGATGTGACATGGTGTTTACCTGCCCTTCTAAAAATGTCACTTTATTTATAGTAATTCTGTCTAGCCTTGTGTGAGTTGCTGTCACCACTATAGACCTAAGTAATGCTATGTGCTACAGATTTCTCTAGAGAGCAATATTTATTGTTTCAGAAAGACTCTCCCTCCCTCCCCTCCCCCTTCTACTGATGGGCTCTGCAAATTAAAAAAAAACATTTTGGAAGAAAACGTTTTAGAATTGGGACAGTGATTTTGGAGCATGAGATTGAAAGCAGGAGTGGTCTGTGTATTTCTATAAAGCTAGCAACACCCCCCCACACACACAAAAAAGGAAAAGACACTGTATATACTCCCATCAAGGGTCAGTGGCACACAAACAAGCAGGTCACTGAAACTGAACACAAGTCCACAGTCTGTTCGAATTCTGTGGATGTTCAACTAAAGACTCAGTCGCAGTGTAGGGCTGTCTGACAGGCCAGCTGGGGTGCGTGCTCGCTCACAGCAACAGAAACTACAAGACCAACACATACATCCAGAATCCAGCCCCCCGATACTCACACAAAAGAACGCGCCAGCTGGTGCCCACACTGTCACACCAGCACAAATAAGGATGCTGACGCAGACACACAAACAAAGCACGCATTCACCGTGACACGGTCAGCTACAAGCCACAGGAAGATCACAGGTACACACGGCCTAGGAACACGGTACTGCGAAGCACTGTCCAGACAACAAGGGCTGCAGTGTAGAAACAGCCTGCAAGACTCAAAAAAGAGAATTCAACCAGCAAAGGGGTCACAACAGAACCCATCTGGAGATCTACCAAAACCAGAAAAACAAACCTCGTCCAGAACAAACACGCAGTCGCAGCCACACAGCCCCGGGCACACACTTAATCCCTCCGTTCCCTCTCCCAGGCACGCAACTCGAAGCACGGGAGCTAGGCCTGGCATGCACTGCTGTTGCACAGCGTGTGAGGTGAAAAGAAAAGAGCTAAGGAGACCCCAAGCAGGTTAAGAAACACTGCAGCACAGGAGACTCAATGACCCTGCAAAACACAGGCAGCTCATCTCCCTGTGAGCACAGCTTCAGGGCTCCTGCTGGGGCCCACAGCGAAGCCGCCGCAGGGGCGCGGGAGGAGGGCTACACGCGTGCGACGCACACTTACCCTGACTATGTAGGACACCCCCGGCCCTGCGATCTTCTTGTCGGGGTGCAGCCAGCCCTGCGAGGGCTTGTGGATGAAGCTGCCCTTGTGGGTGAAGTCCTCCCCGCCCAGCCTCACGCCGTCCACGCGGGGCCTCCGGCTCATGCCCGCGGCGGGCACCCCGGGGCCGCTGCCCGCCGCGCCGCGCAGCCTGCTCACGGCCTGCAGGGAACAAGGGGTGACGCACACCGGGTCACAGGAGTTCAGAACGGCCGCCAGGCTGGCCACGGGGCCGCTGGACGGGGCCGCGGGCCCGGCTGTCCCCTGGGGGGCGCTCTTGGCCCCGGCGTCCTTCCCGCCGCTGCCGCTGGAGCTGGAGCTGGAGCTGGACGGGCTCCTGCTGAGGAAGGCCGACGCGTTGGAGAACTTCCACTGCGGCATCCTGGGGATGAGCATGCAGAAGGTGGTGGTCCCATCCTGGTCCGCCTCCGGGCAGGGGGACTCCGCCAGGGCAGGTGGGGGGTAGGGGTGGCGGCCCAGGGGTCCGAGGGTGGGCGGCGGCGGCGGCAGGGGCGCGGGGGAGGCGGAGCTGGCCGGCGTGCTGGCCACTTTGCCGCTCATGGCTAAGTTCTGCATCAGGTCATCGGAGGAGGTCACGGAGTCGTTGCGAAAGCGGTCATACTTGGGCTTAAGGAGCATGCCCGGGGGGGTCGGCCCGACGAAGGGAGCAGGGTTTGGAGGATGAGGGGAGAGGAGAGGAGAGGAGAGGACAGGGGGGAGGGGGGGAGAGGAAGACAGAACCCCCTCCCAAAAAAGCCGACGACAAAAATCTCTTTCTTCCCACTGATGCGCGCCGGCTCCTGGAGAGAGAGCTCTCCCTGACTGTGATGCCGACGGTGTCCCGTTCCCTCTCTCGGTGCCTCTCCCTCGCTCTCTCCCTCACGCTCACTCTGCTCCTGTCTCTGAGCTCTTCTGCTCTTAGCTGGGCTCCCTCCCTCCCTCCCTGTCTGTAGCCCCCCCCCCCGTGCAGCACAGCCAGTGATGTCATCGTGTGAGTGCGATTGCACATCTATTAGCCAGCAGTCCAGCCCAGCCCAGCTGCTCCCAGGCAGCATTAGTTTCCCAACATCTGGCCCTGCCTCCCTCCCAGCCAGGACCCCCCCCCTCCTGCGGCCGCAGGCTCCATCCCCGCTATTGTGTTCGTCAAGCAGGGGGCGGGGCGCCACACCGTGGGGGATCACGTTTCATTTTAATGTTTAACGCTGCCTCAAGCACGTTTAGCTTTCCGAAGACATCGCCGGCGGATTCGCTGCGCGGCAGGGGAGGGCTGGGACAGCAGGCTGTGGAGCGAGTCAGTCCCCTCAGAAGCCCATTCGGAGGCAGGGGAGGGCTGGCGACAGGGCACAGGGCACCATGGGAGGGTGAAACTACACTGCACGTGATTTGGAAAGGGGCAAAAATGTCTTGATGAAAGCAGCTGAGACTACACTGTCCACCCAAGGGTGTGTATAGATGTGTTGGATGAAACTCCCAGTCCCCCTCCCTGCAGCCAAACTGAGATTCTTTCAGAAGTCGGAGCATTTTTGCCCTTACAGGAGCTTTGCAATACGGATGGTAATGTTACACAGTTTCAGGGACCCACTCCCGGTTGTTTTTGATGGTTCAGGGGTGGGTCTCAGAAACATGTGCCCTTGAGTTTTTAAAAACATTTTAAAAAATTTTAAAAGGACACAAACTGCCTTGGTTTCATAACACAGTGAAACATGGATGAATATATAATATTTCATATATCATATATCATATATCATATATCATATATCATATATCATATATCATATATCATAGGTAGCTTGCTTTCCTGCGAGTGTTCCCAAACTCTCACCCCCTCAATGCCTGCTCGGGTCAGGGGCACCCCCTGTCTGCGCCCCCAGCAGGAAGGTCACACTGTCACTGCAAACAAAACTTGGACGTTAAGATTAATTTATTGACTTAAGAACAGGTCACATGTTAAATTCACATGGTTAAATTCAAGGTTGGGAAGAAACTCCCAGATGTTTTTTGGGGGTAAAATGTCTAAAAAAAAAAACTACTATTAACTGACTGTACTCCCATCAAGTCCATGTAGAAAACTGGGCACCACTGACCAATGAAATCGGACACACCTTCTGATGGGGCTTGGGTGAATGCCTCCTCCTGTAAGTAAGTAAGTACACTAGACACCAGAGGGCGCTATATCAGCCCTATCCCCCCCAGATGATGATGAATTTCATCTGTGTTTAAATGAACCATTTTAACAACCCATGTATTATCATCTCTATTCCATATACTGCCTTTCAGAATCAATTCTCTCATGGCAACACTGAAACAGAGACGGGTACACAGACATGAACACAGTAAAGGTGTTAGTTTCAAGCCAGTTGTACGTGAGAGATTGAACTGGCTGATCCGCACGTTATCTTTAACAAACTAACAACCGTCAGCAAAGATCAAACCCAGGATTGTCAGAGCGCTGCTGCTGGACTGTGTTTTTCCTGAGACGTCATTGAGCAGCAAAGTGACAAGATCAGAACAACAACAACTTGTGCCTTCGATTTGAACCCAAAACCACGACACAGAGATGCAGCAGGCCACACCACCCATGCATGCATTTTTTTAAAGCGCACAACTTAAAATCCAAGGAATAAAAAAGCCAGGCTACCTGTTGAGAGCTCTTCTCTTCAGCTCTTCACCCAGACTGTCCCCAGAGCCACCATCACTCAAGCTGCAGACAGCACAGGACAAAATAAGACAAAACGACACACACAGCAGATGTGCACATCGACATATACTGTATGCACAGAGCATATAGCACCGGAGACATCTGCCCTCCAGAGTGCTCCAGGCTGTTATCCCCTCCTCTGACAGATGAAGGCGCTATGGCCCTTACAGGAGATGATATAAAGGAGGTACTCTTCTCAGATCTCTGAGAGAGAGGGGCAGCTCAGGATCAGCTTGGGACCCGAAACGAGAAAATGAAAAAATGCTCTTTTTTTTCAGATAAGCGACAGTATCGATTGATAAAATGATGAATCGGTAGATTGGAGTTGAAAATAAGCAAACCTTATTTTCAATAATTTCAGGTCTAGAGCGAATGGCATTAACAGATAAGTCCAAGGAACTGGATCTTTTTAGTCCGGAACAGGGGGTATAAAATTACAACAGAGTGTGATATGGGTATTCAACATCCTGAAAGGAATTGATATAGTCAGCCCAAGGGACTGCTTCACACTGGAATGATCATTGAAGTGTATTTGGGACTGACAACAAGTGGCATGTTTTTACACAGAGGGTGGTAGGTGTATGGAACAATCTGTCCAGCCACATTGTTGAAGACAGTACCCTGGGAACCTTGAAGAAACAGCTCAATGAGATCAACTACCAGATGAGCACAAGGGGTGAAAGGGCCTAGCCTTGTTCATAACTTTCTTGAAAGAACATAAATTTGGCCATTTGGATTCTCAAGTCTGTTGCTGCTAGGAAATGATGCACCTAAAATGAGGAGGACAGGGCTCTCCGCATCTTTCCTTCTGCCCTGTCTTACCAGATTCTAACAATATTATACTGGAAGACAGGGAAACTTAGCCAACAAGAGCATAAAGAATTCAGGATTCTTGCTCTTCCTTCTCAGTTTCTCCAGTTCCCAGGAGACACATTAAATGCAATCACAGCGAGCAGACTCAAGCCCTCTCCTCCCCCCTCCTCTCCTCTCCTCTCCTCCCTGCCATTATTTGAGAGGCAGAAGAATGACGAAATTAAGCATCACAGAGCCACCCAAACTAGGTTAAGCGGGGATTTGTAATGCACACCTTTCTCATTAAAACCAAAATAGAATTAATAAAAGACAGCGCTGTGCAGATGTGGCAGCAGCAGGGTGTCGCAGAGCTGCAATTGCGTGTTTTGAAAAATGGATCTGAACCTCAAAAGAAAAGCTGTACTCCTAATATTGAACAACACTGTCAGAAACAGACATCTTTTTTAATATAGACTGTTACATCGGTTGATCTAACAGTGATGTATTGATTTCTGGAAAATGTAAGGGCTGCGGTGAACTGGAAACTTAAAAGTGCTTTTAGAGAGCAGCTCTGAAAGACAAGCAGAACACACAATGGGTGTTTGAAGATCAGTGCATGTTTGACTTGGTGACAAGGAAAGCTAGTGTACACACACAACAACTCCTTTCACACTCTCACAGACTGTACACATAAACACCCCCCACTGACACACACACACACACACACACACCCCACACTCGCATACAGACAGACACCCCCCACTGACACAGACACCCTACACTCACAAACACACACAGACACACACCCCACACCGACACACACACACAGACACCCCCCACTGACACATACACACACAGACACCCCACACTCGCATACACACAGAAACAGACACCCCACACCCACATATACACACAGACACCACACAGTGGCACACAGACACCCCACACCCACATACACACACAGACACCACACAGTGGCACACAGACACCCCACACTGACACAC